AAATTGCATTTTTAAGTTCACTTATCTGTTCTAAAAATCCGTTCAAAACTGTGATGACGTCACACAATAGCAGAATGCTAGCGTGTCCCGGCCAACAACGGCCTAACCTGTAAGAAATCAAAAGGACATAAGTACTCGTTCATTCGACTTTTGGCCTATTATCTATATTGAACTTGCGGAATCAACAATAAAATCTATGTTGATTTAACGAATAGCAGGTGAAAGAGACACATTTATCCGTTTAGCCCCATAGACTCCCATTCATTCTGCGCTCGCCCGCGATCACCTCCAGTGGAATTCTAATGGAACTGCAACCAAGATGATACACAATGGGGCTAATAGGAAGTGCCAAAAGCTCTCCGTTAGACGGGCTCTGGTACTATCCTGTTATCCGGACCCCACCATATACCATTTCGGAACTGCCATTTCACAAGATGTAAACAACACTGGTCCAGAAGCACTTCCTGTTTCAGTTTTTTAACACTACATAAAAGCTGGGATAAAATACAACCAACAGAACATATAAAACTGAATCAAAAAGTTAAACAAATATCTTTAAGATGTTTTCTTTACATGTGAAATAAAGAAAACAGTTACAAACTGAAACAGGAAGTGCTTCTGTGTTGTTTACATCTTGTGAAATGGTCTATAGTCATCACTGATTGGTCTTAACCCCAGTGACGGGTAGGTTTAGGGGTGGGGTTAGGGGTATAGGCCATCGTCCCTGATTGGTCTTGCCGGGTAGGTTTAGGGGCGGGGTTAGGGGTAGGCCATCGTGGGGTCTGGATAACAGGAAAGTAAGTTGTATAAATTGGGTATTTATTTTGACCGTGCTTAATTGACAGATTTTTTAAATCATATTTTACTGCTGTTTCTATGCCGTTTATGTCCCGGTGACCAGTGAAAGTTTTGACTCTCTGCCCATTCATTTAGATAGGAGCCCGGTCTTATTAGCTGCCCGGCCAGAAGCATCGCCAAGATGACGGTCGAGTGGCATGACTTCGATGTAAAAAGTACTTTGTGGATGTGCAGCCAACAAATCTGCGTGCTTGCTATTGTGTCAGTATGGACCAAACACTCTGAGGAATGTTTCCAGCATTAAATCTATGATGCAAAGAATTAAGGCAGTTCTGAAGGTTGTCCAACCCTTTACTAGCAAGGTATACCTAATAAGGTGGCCAGTGATTTTCCTATCTGAGGAGAGCTGTCTGTTAGGTCAAAGTTTGCTCATGGAGAGATATGGTAACACTGTTTGAGATTCAGTTTGGTCCATATAAGATCTGCATGGCAGTTTTCTGTCAGTCCATACAGTCATTCATTACAGTTTAAAACTATAACATCACTGAATGCTGTTGCGATCATCATCAATTTGTGTATCTGCTTTTTCTCATATAGTCTATATTTACTGCACTTCGCCTCATTTTCCAGTTTGTTAACCTAGATCCTTCTGTTTTGTTTGTTTAAATTAAACTCATCTCTGAGGCCTGATGTCGGCACCCAGTGTGTCTGTCTTCGTTCACCCCGACAGCTGCATAAAGCTTATTGTTTTAATTCTTAATAGTACTGTTAACAAGGCACCCGAGTTATCATAAATAGCTACAAACACCCATACATCTACTAGTGTGCACAATAAACCAACTTTTGCATCATGACTCTCCCTTTTGACTTTTTATAACCCACATCCTCTTGAAAAAAACAAAAACAAAAAAAACAACACAAACACAAAGTTTGCCTGGCAGAAGTATTTTATTAGTTCAAGTTGCAAGCAAGATTATTTTTGAAATGCATTTTACTACTACATCTAAGCATACTGATTATCAAAACAAAGGATAGTTGATCTCACTAATACAGAATTGCATAAGAGGTGAACGTTACTGCAGTTAGATCTCTCTTTAAGGCAGACAGCGTGCATCTATGGGAGTGTTTCCTTCCCCTTTACAAGCATAACACTCATTCTCACTCACACAGCGGAAGAGAGGAACATGAGCCGCAATCTTCTTAAACGCAGTCTGAAGATCTTTTTCAATGTCAAACTTCCAGAAACCCTTGAAGACGAAAGCTTTAATTCCATCGTGTTCTTTCCATTTCTCCAGAGCATTTATAATGTTGTGACTGCTTGACGGATTCAGACACGTGTCGACACAGGGAGATTCAAAGGTGTAGAAAACAGAGCAGCCGTCTTTTCTTTTATTCAAAAGTTTGCTCATGGGTGAGTTGTCGACAGGATTCAGCAGGAGAGACTCTGAATGCTTGTTGTATTGCTTTCTTCCAATTACAACTTTCTTAGTTCCTGCAGCGATGAGCTCTGAACCCTGGTAAAGTGCGTTTGTTTCATCAGTAATGGCATTTTTCACATTCACATTCTCCTGAGTCAGGAAGTTGTCCTGTCGAGGATTGAAGTTCTGTTGACACTGGTCCTTTGGCACATTGATGGCGGTGGCGTACTGACGGGCATGTCAATCTATATCGACTCTCTTATACCTGTACAACAGTAAACAAGATCAAGTTTTGACTAATGACACTCACCCATGTTTTCAATGCATGGCCGCTTGACTGAGTGCTTCTCATTTATCTACTTTCCCTTTTTTGCTCTACTTACTCATTGCTTAACTTAGTTTAAACTTTTAGATTGTAGACTTACTTCTGCTCAAAGAAGTTAATAATGCGGGTGAGAGTATTGATGTCCACAGTGTCAACACTTTCTGTCCAGTAGGGAAGCAGAAAAAGCAGCCAGTCCACCCAGAAACACAGTGAACTTCTAAAGTCACAAAACAGCACACACACACACACACACACACACACACACACACACACACACACACACACACACACACACACACACACACACACACACACACACACACACACACACACACACACACACACACACACACACACACACACACACACACACACACACACACACACACACACACACACACACACACAGAGAGAGAGAGAGAGAGAGCAAGATAAAACCTAAATAAATGGATAAATATCAAGTGCATTATCATCATTATAATAGAAAATAAGCCCATTCAAAAGACCTGTATATGTCTCCCAATGACACCACATCTTAATAATAATTGGTAAAGCTTGATTATTTCAAATCTTAAAGCCCAGAGACGATCTGTAAGTCTTCAAAGAAGGAGGAGTGATAAGATTAAAGGAGAAATGGGGATGGGATTTATTCTGGACCATTCCAACACTCATTCACTCGGATGTACGTCATTGGAATCAGCTATGGAGTTGATTTATCATTTAATTTTTTTCCCCTTTACAGTTTTTCTCGATTGTTTACACACATTTTCTGGTACTTGAGACACAATGACCACAGCATGTAACTCATTCACCAACCCCCTGAACCAATTCTGTTGAACTACAAGCACAATTCCACAATTCCTAAAACAATTCTCTGCATTTGACACAATTTTCATGCAGAAAATCTCTTGTTTTCATGAGGAACACACTGCCATTCAAATATTCACACTGACTCGTCACATGGGCAAACACATTTCACACAGTTTTACAATTAGCGATCAGAGCTTTGGCATAAAATACCAAAACTAAAGAGAGGATGCAGCATAGATATTTTTTTATTTCTTTTTTTTACTGTAACAGCATACAAAATTCTGTTGTTTTGTATGTAGACCACTGTATGTGCAACTTTGTGTTGGTTGGGGTGTACAAAATGAGCAATCTATCTCCCATTGATTTTGTGGGAAAAATAAAATATATTTGTTACCGTGTATTTGTGTGTTCTGGGTATAAAAAACAATATTCTCAAATATTTTACAACACACTTATGTATGTAATGTCTGTAGTAAGTGTAACACTGAACAAAAAGGCCTTATAAGTCATGATGAATGGAGAAGAAGTGTTTTCCATTGATCCTAGTGTTTTACATTGAGCACATCAGTGTTCAACTGGTTCTTATAAATGTCTATTCATATGATGGTTTGTGTGTGTCATTTGAAAACAAAATAGCATTTTGAGAAGAAATAACATTGTTTTGAATGTAAAGTTTCATTTTGCAGGAGAATTGAGGAGTTTTGCCAATTGTGTGAGTGTTTTTAGATTTGTGTGTAGAGTTCTGAGAATATGAGGCGTTCTTTCAGAAAATGTGTGTAAACAATCGAGAAAAACTGCAAGAATTTGTTTAATGCAGCATCCAAACGTATATGTGTGTTTGGGTTGTTTTACGTAAATAAAAAATTATAATTCATATATCATCGAGTTATTTGTTGTGGTGGTGTTTAGACGTAATGGTACTTCATGAGAGGTCACGACGTGCCTAATTTCAGGCTCCCAGTGGCAGCTGTATGATCAATGGAGATATGTTTCAGTCTATCTATATATGAGTGGAAAATAACTGTTTATCTATTTGAATCGCCACAAACTCTTGTGTGAGTCTTGAAGCTGATGAAACTGCAAACTATCATTTCTTTCATTTATTATTCTGACTGGTTCGGGGTCTTTGACTATAAAATCCCTTACAAGGGGATTTGGAACTTTTGCATTATAGGGAAATACAGTATATTCACAATTTATAATTGGTCTGATTCAACAATGTTGCTGTTTAATGGAAATGATTATAAAAGTAAAAATAAAAATGCTAAACAGAGTCCTATATAGTTTTCTGAACATTTTACTGTTAGTTTGATGCTGTAATATCTAGCAAAATTGTTCAATTGATTTAGTGATAATTAATTTATATATATATATATATATATCGTCATTGCCATTTAAGTGAAATTACTGAACTTAAATATACAAGCTTGATAAAACTGATCATTCTAGAAGAAAATTTCAAATGGCACTTAGAGGCTTTTGCATCTGAACTCTTCATATATATATATATATATGCATGGCATGCATAAAGTTGCACACAACATAACTTGTATAAAGAGATGTTCAGTCAGGTGTGTAGCAACTATTATAATCACTCAAAACTCTTCGGACAAATATGAAGTGACAATTTGTTCATAACTGCATGGGCAAAACAAGTTTATTTAGCTGCAGGACATAAAATGATTTCAAAATCATTCATTAACATACTTCAGCATGATTATTGACAAAATGCTTTTTTTAAGACACACAATTTAGATTTAAAGTCTCACTGCCAGCATCTCCACACTTGTAGCATTTCATTTGACTCTTTTCTTTCACACAGCGATAGAGAGGCACTCGATCATTAATCTTTTTAAAATGATCTCTGTCAAGAGTCCAGTCTTTGTGCCAGATCTCTTGGAAAACGAAAGCTTTAATCCCAGTTGTCTGTGTGTTTAGCCAGTTTGAAAGGCCATACAAAATAGTGCCATTAACATCATCTATGCACTTTTCTATGCAAGGTGAGTTATAAGTATACAAAACAACACATTGATCATCATTTACCATTTTCAAAATTTTGTCCATGGGAGAAGTATTCGTGGCATCTTTAGGATAGATAAGAACATATTCAGAATGCAATGTTTCTCTGATCATTTGGATCCAGCTCGGCTTTGCAGCAGCGAGACGGACTTCCTCTTGGGTGACTTCACAAAGCCTTCGCTGACCATTAGTCTTGAAATCATTAAAGGCATTTTTTATTTCGTCCGTGTTGAAAACCGAATCAAGACTAAACTGCTCTGTACACTGTTGATAAGGCACCCTGATGATTACAGAATACTGATTAGGTATGCCATGGTTGGTTGGCTGCAACCTAGAAGACAAACATCACCGTTATTGCAATTTTCAAAAACTCATACTCCTTTTAATTTGAATTTGAATATCTTTATTGTCCACTGGGGTGGAAAACACATAAAACAACTACTGAGAAACTAACAGACAAGACAATGCACAAGGTCAAATTACATTAAAAGAAAACTGTCTGACAGGATTTGAACTGTCTGCCAGAATAATCCTCGCCTTCTTCCTTGCCCTTTCAAAAAGTTGTGTTAAGGGGTTTACCAACTATTTTTCTGTGCTACGAACACAATTCTAGAAAGTTTATTCTTAAATCTACAGTTTCGGTGACCATTTCCAGCAGGGAGATCGTCTGTATGGGAGGGCATAGCCCCACCAAAATATTCATCCAAACATTTTTGCATTGAATTAATAATAAAGTATAAGTGTGAGTCTGCATCAGCTCAGGAACTATTTGTCATGTCTGTTCTGGCAAGTGGAGTTGCAAATCAAAATCAAATTAATGAAAGTATAAATCTTTTAGTTTAAACATGCTCATGTTAATGGCTTATAAATAGTTCCGTTGTGTTTGTTCTGAGAACCTTTTTTCCTCACTGGAATTCCTAACTTGCAACATTCTAAAACAACATTTGGATGTTTTATAGACTTCAGGTAATTCTAAGATTGAAGATTGCATTCTATGTCTTTGTTGTGTGTACTAAAGTCTGTCAATCATCATTAGAGAGCCACTCTCATGCTGAATAACGCAAGGACTTTCGAATTCTGACAAAAGTTTGTCTGATGTGTTCATCGATTAGAATATAAAGCTCACAAAATGTTTATCATAAAGACCCAGAATCTGCCCTCCAGGAGAAAATTTGTCCAGGAGCTGCTGCACTTGACTCAACAATAGATTTTTCCACAAGTTTTAAAATATGCTAACTAAACAGCAAGGTCGAAGTTGTCTAAGAAGTTAAGAGTCGAGTTACTTTGTACTCTGTATTTTAAGAGGAGCTAACCTGGAGTCCAGAATTGTACAAAAGAAAGTTGTCCACAATTTTAACATGTTGACCATCAAACAAAACTGGCTCAATTATCATGTCTTGTTTAGTGCAAATAATTAATTATTTTGTCTTGGCAAAATTAACTGGCTAAAACGACACCATGATTCAAAGCCCTTAATGTTGGCCTGTTCCTGAGACAGAAGAAATTTAACACACATTTCAGGACTGTACTTATTCGCTGTTTATTGTGCACATTTTTACTTACTTGTCATCAAAATACTGGATCATTTTAGCAAGAACGTCAGTTTTCACTTGTACGTTATTGCACTGAATACACAGATGAAGCAGGAAAAACACGAACATCCTTAGTGACACAGACGCCTAAAGTTAAAATGACAAACCTGATAAACAAATGAAACACAAGTAACAAAATGTGATGAACACGATAAAAATGCTTACCATGATGAATATCAGAGAGACTTCTGAGATCTTCAGAGAATATGTGTTGGGTCCCATCTGACTGAGAGCATATTTATTCTGGGATCAGCCATATGCAAATAATCTTGTAATGGGAGGTTGTATGAATGTCCGTTGAGTGTTTGACATTTGCGTAGTATTCAATTCATATCACAGTTTAATTTGCAAATTACAATGATAAGTTTAGGTAGTAAAATAATTCAAACATGCTAACAACGAATGTCCTCTCTTCTGGATTCCTGCAGTAGAATGTTGTCCATCAATATTGCATTAAGTCACTTTTATTTAAATAGCGCTTTATGCAACATAAACTGTTTCAAAGCAGTTTTGCAGAAATAAAACAGGATTATGTCACAAAATTTCAACATTATGTTATGACTGTAAAACAGCTCTTCCGAAGATCATACAATTAGTTCAATGAAGTTGTTGTGTCAGTTTCTTATCCTGGGTCAATATTCAATTCAATACAAATTTATTTGTATAGCACTTTTCACAATACATATTGTTTCAAAGCAGCTTCACAGAAAGTGCATTTCAGAAATGTACATAGAAAAATACAGTTAGTTAATCATGTATTAATTTAGTGCATAACATATCGCCGGCGTTGAGTCATCTGTTCACAGGCGTCGAGTCGTCTCTTCACAGGTGTAGAGCCTGTACTCAAATTGATAAAATATCTGAAAGCCAATTCTCTGAGCACTGAGCAAGACAAAGGACTTAGACTATTAATACATCTGGACTGCTCTAAGATTTCATACAGGAAAATAGGTGCTCATTTCAGCTAAGTGGAAACTGCAGGAACTGAATTTTTTTGAATACCTAAAAGAATATATGTGCAACGAGCTGGATGGCGCCTTGTATGGCTGACACTGCCGTCGGTGTATGAATGGGTGAATGTGAGGCAATATGTAAAGTGCTTTGGTGGCCATTAGGTCTATGAAAGCGCTATATAAATGCAGTCCATTTACCATTTAATTCTCCTGGCAAATATTAACGCCATCATTTTGTAGTCATTGTTTGGCAGACAAATGGGTCTCCAGCTGTCAATGAAAAGTATGTCTTTTCTAGGAGTAAAAATGGGGCTAAGTGTTCAAGGGTTAGTTCACCCAAAAATGAAAATTCTGCCAGTTTTTACTCACCCTCACGTTGTTCCAAACCTCTATGTGTTTATTTGTTCTGCTGTACACAAAGGAAGATATTTGGAAGAATGTTTTAATCAAACAGATCTCATTCCCCATTGACTGCCATTGTAGGAAAAAATGCATATAGTAGTCAATGGGGAATGAGATCTGTTTGATTAAAACAGATATTCCAAATATCTTCCTTTGTGTACAGCAGAACAAATAAACACATAGAGGTTTGGAACAACATGAGGGATTTTTGAGTGAACTAACCCTTTCAGAGAACGGGGGATTTACAACAAAGAGTTGGGAAACAGTGGGAACACAGTTATCCGGACAGATAGTTAGTAACGTTAGCTGTCAACCCTCACGTTTTTTTCCGGGTTTCTCACGTACTTGAGCTCTTTTCCCGCTGCTTCTTCCTGTTTTAGTATTTTCCTGTAAAATATCCCGTATTTTAATAATCTCATAACATTAACATTAGCCCTTTAATCAGACCTGTAGGTCTCTGTTGTCCTGTTGTTACCCTCTTGCTTTAAGCACCGTTTTGCTTAAAAGAGCTAACGTTACTAACTACACTTTTGAAACACATAGTTACAGTTTTTCTCAAATGCTAAAACACATTTCACAAACGTTTCATCCATGTTCTCCAATGTCTAAACACAACACCCTTTTCTAAAGCTACATAAACACAACCACACCTTCTCCCTTCAAAACTCAAACTTTCACACCAAAAGAGCAGCTCGAAGCTTTCAAAAATGTAAACACTATACACATCATTACACACTACAGGAAAACAATTGAAAACACAATGCTCAATTTGTGAGAAGGTTCATTGTATCATAACTGCCAATGCATATTTTTAGAAACTTTACAGTAATGGATCTTCTTAGATCTCTGCAGAGGATTAATCATTTAGATTTGTGAGTTTCATATGAAGAGTATAAATCTATAGTAAATTCAGTACACTACTGTAACACAACTCAATGCAAAAACAGAATCTATTGCACACAACAGTACTCTTGAAAACATGATCAGGGTGTGAAGTTTTTTTTTACTGTAATTTATTTTATTTACACCACAATCACTGTGCGGCATCATGTCGCTGAGCTGCATCGGGCCACATCACCTCATCCACATTGCAGGCTATATTGTCTCTTGCCAGGCACCGCGGGAAAAACGCCCTGGAATGGCGGATCCATCTTTGGAAGTTCTCCACTGGGATGTCAACACACGCCAGTTCCATTGGCCTTAGGAGGTTCTCTAGTGTATGGTTGTCTGTCATAAACCTTCCATCTCAACGATGAGAAGAACTCCTCTATAGGGTTCAGGAAAGGGGAGTAGGGTGGCAGACAGACATTTACTGTAGTCTGATGAGGAGTCAGATGAGGTTGTTCTCACGAACCATATCCACAATGAGGGTTTCTTGTGCCGCTGTAAATATGGCAACCCTCACACCTCTATGTGGCATTCTTTCAACTCTAAAGAAAGAAGCGTGTTGTCAATTGACATGTTTTACAATACAGTAACAACTGATTTGAAACCAATAGACTACTTTCACATGCAGGCTTGAAAAATTGTATTGTGACTTAGAAAGCAATAGAGTACAATACCTGTTGTGTTACCTGAGTTTCCCACCATTAGCAACAGGTGTTTTCAATTTTGAGTTGTTGTGTGTAATGAATGACGCCAGATGTGTTCATTTTGTTCAAATATTGCTGACTGTGGCAAGCATTTTGCATCACATGAGCTTTCATTTGAGAATATGAGCAGAGTTCTTTTGCAACTTGTGTTTTAGCAAGGAAAAATGTGTTAAGATTTATGTGAACGGAGGATTGTGTTTTGTGAATTGTGTCTTCATGTGAAATGTGTTTTTGATATTGGAAAATGATGGCTAGATTTAGTAAATATGTTTAGACAACTGGTCATTTGGTTTAGAGGATTGGCTTTTGTGTTTTAGCATTTGAGAAAAACTGTAAAAGTATGTTACATGTGTGAATGGTTGTTAGCACTTTAACCGTTACTAAACTAGCAGCTAGGTGGAGCGCAGTTTACCTTTGTCCGGATTAAGTTAACGTAACGCACTGTGCTCCCACTCTTTGTTGGAAATTTCATATGGATCCAAACCGTTAAAAGAGCCGGTTTATCCACATACCGGTCCCTGGTTTCCCTATTAAACGTATCCCGGTAAATTACGCATCCTTTTAGGGATTTTAACATCTTTTTATATTTTATTTCTACCAACTCGGCTGCTTCTCCTCGTTCAACTTGCTGGTATGTTTACATTTGCTTAGCTGTCAACATGGCTGCCACGTGTGACGTTAGAAAGCACATGGCAAACATGACACAGTTGGAAATCGCAGACATAAAACACTCAAAATACTCATAAATACAGACGGAAAACACTCTTATGGGTTAATCTGTGTCTCTTATGAACAATCCATCAAATAATCATAAATCATTTAAGATGAATTTATACATTTTTCCATTTTTAGTACGGAGACGGAAACAGACTCACCCACAGCAGTTCTCTCTTACTCTGCTGCAGATCGTTCGTGCGCACGGTAGCCTATAGCGCCACCCGTGTACCCCATAGGAATCCCATTGTTGCAGGATTTATTCAAAGAACTCACAACTATATTATTTATCCCGTCACCTACGCATAATCAAATTAAAAAACAACAGTACAATAAGCAGTGCTGCTTATAAGGTCAATTCATTGCATACGACAAGCAGGGGGAAAAATGCGCATGCCCACTTCGGTCCTGGAATTCTTCAACATGTCGCCTACAGCAAAAACCATAAATCTGCTGTGCCTTTGGACGTAAATGTTTATTTGTTTGTTTTTTTTATTGCAAAAATAAAGTACAAATCACAAAAGACTAACAAAATATGCATTACGATACACAGGATCATAACATATAAACATAATACAATAGCCTACAGTTTTGCCAGGGGAAGCATATGAGCCGTTACAAGAGAAAGAGGACCATATGTTGACAGTTTCAATTGCCTTTTTGTTGTTGGAGCCAGAAATCAGATTAATATAATGTACAACTGTATGGAGAAAAAGTACAAAATTAGTTTGTTTGTTTTTGGCGCTGAATTTACATTTAGCCTATGAATGTGAATTTTTTTTGCCAAAATAATTAATAAATATATAATGAAGTACTTCTTTTCTTTACTTTGACTTCTATAAAAGCAAAATACAACATTTTTCCATAATAAGGCAAAGTCTTTATAAACATGGTCACTGATAAATCTGCTGAGGTTTTGCCAAAATGTTCTGGAGCAATACTAAAAGAGGTGCAAAACAGTTTCAGGGTGGTCCTCACAAAAAGAACAGTTTGTATTTATGTCTCTTTTAAAATTAACCATGTAATGACTAGCTTACATGCAGAAGACAATATTCCTCCGCCCAGGCAAGCAACCACCAAGAAAACGTGTTAACACCAATTCTCGCCCAGGACAACTGGAAGCTGCTAGGGACTGGAAGATACTGGCTGATCTTGATCAACGGCTTTTTCCACCTGAGATTGCTACCACTAACCTCCGACCAGATATTGTTTTGTGGTCTGGATCAGCACGCATTGTTCAGCTGATGCGGTAGATGAGGCACATGAGAGGAAGAAACTACGGTGTGCTCATCTGGTCACTGAAGCAGAACAGCAAGGATGGAGAGTCCAGGTTTATCCAGTGGATAAAGTGGCTGTCGAGGATTTGTGGCACAGTCTACAACCCGGTTCCTCAGAGACGTCGGATTCAGTGGCCAAGAGTTGCGTGCCCACTTGAAGCCCCTAGAGATGTCCCCTACTCGGCTCAATTCAGACGGTTGTGGTGCTGGTCCACGTGGGAGACCATATAGTTGCAGCCGTCGAGTG